TCCTCAGGCACGAGACCCCCACAACCTACGTCCCCCCTCTGCCATTGTTCTGCATCAACGTACTCTGGTACTCTGTGTGTTCCCGTGGTGGCATGGTGAGGCATGCATGCTGGGTAATTTCTTAGGGTTGCATGCCAGTCAAGTGATTTGTATCTTATGGGCACTGGATTGCTCTTTTCCACCCTCAATACTTTCCTCTCCCGACTATCAGTTCTCCAGGCTTAGCTTGAGCTCTGACATATGTGCTCCCTTTTTCCCCTCCTCGTCCCCTCCCTCCATCCCAATCCCCCCACTCCTCTCACTTGCAGGTCCACCAAGCGGCCCACACTCTCGCTCCCCTCTGCTACACACCAATGCCAGGCATGCGACAGCAAACCCTACAGCACGTGCGGCATTAGGAACCTTTTTCCACATGCATACACTTCCAATTGTGTGTTGTCGAGCTCGCTTCGCCGTACGATATTAGGAACTTGTATGAGTTCCATTGTCCATTTAGGTATCTGCACTTCAACAAGTTTGGTGTAACGATTTCTCATTTCCCATTACACTAAATACCGTTTGGCCCCGGATATAAGCGCATATGCGTTTATAATAAGTAATGATTTTTTAGGGGTGGCGCTTGTAATTGAGGAACGGCCACAAGCGCCGGCGCTTATAAAATGTCAAATTCCAATTTTGGTTTTCGAAGTATTAAAGTGAAGCCCACAATAAGGCGAACACAACTGTGAACGTTGCGCATGGGATCGTGCATGAAATTCCGGCGAAAACTGCCGCGACTCGATTTCCCACCGCACAGAACCTGTCCTGGAGCAACGCACCTGCCAGCGATGACGTGCATCCTGGCGTGCAGCCCAATAGGGTTTACATGCGCTGCCAGGGTGCCACATTTCACCCGAAATTTCGAGAAGGGGGTGGCATATTCCTGCCAGCGCAGCAGATACGTGCCGCGATTCCCTCCTCTGCGGGTTTAGGCAGGGGGGGATCTGACTATGCCTGAAGAGGAACTCGAGCCGCACACCAGAAGGGGTCCCCTCCAAACCCTCATTTCTTCGCCTTCTCTTTCACTTTTTTCATTCAGATTCTTGGTCTCGCCCGCCATGCTGCGGAAGCCATGGCGGAATTCGCTGGCACTCATTTCTTGTTCAAAAAGAAGCCCGCGCGTAGGCCCGCCTTCGTAGTCGACGCCGACGGATGGTACTCCCGTGTCCCACCTGAACCACCAGAGCCACCACAGCCTCCATCGCCTCCTGCGCCGCCTGCTCCTCCTGCTCCTCCTTTGCCGCCTGCGCCTCCTGCTCCTCCTGTTCCTCCGTCTCCTCCGATTCTGGGATGTCCTCACAACACAGGGGATCCGCCCGTGCTCACGCTCCTGCTCCCGACTGTGTTCGACGAGTGGCTGGAGGAACCGGAAAGCAACAAGGCCCAAGATGTTGAGGTACCCGGTGCACCTTACCCTGGACCACGTTGGGGCCGGCCCGATGATTGCACCACGTGGGACGAATCTGCACTCGGAGCTGATGACGACGTGGCTGAGGACGAGGAAGCGAGCCGTGCTGACGGCAACGAGGAAGCGAGCCGTGCTGACGGCGACGAGGCTGAGGAAGGTGGCGCGCAGGGCGGCACCGCTGAGGATGTGTTTCCTGAGGGCGTACCTGGTGGCGACGACGACGACGGTGTCCAGTACTGGTCACGTGACGGGCTCCCCGAGGAACTGCCGATACCTTCCTTTCCACCAGCTAACCGCAAGCGACCCCACCCGTCTACCCAGAACCGTGATGCCCGCCCCCCCTCTCCCAGGCACAAGATCAGCGATCACAAGCGCAAAGGCTACACCGCTGCGGAGAAGTTGAAGTACGTCGCGATGCTGGATGTGGCGAAGTCGGTGCGCGCACTAGCTCGGGAGTGTGGGATTCACCGAAGTGTCTCGCCAACTGGAAGGTGGCAGCGGGGTTTCTCAAAGAAGCACACTCCGGGCGGAAGCGCATGCACGGTCGCGGGCGGGCCTCGTGGTACCGCTCCATGGAGTTGAAGGTGTACGAGCGGCTCCTGGACTGGCGCCGCAAAGGAACCGCCGTGTCGGTCGGCCGTCTGCGGGAGTGGTCGAGGGAGTTCATGAAGATCCTCTACCCGGACGTCAAGTGGAGCGGGAGTCAGAGATGGTCGGAGCGGTTTCGGAAGCGGTGCAATCTGAGCGTCCGCATGAAGACGCGGGTTGCTCAGAAAACAGCCGCTCATAAGATTACACCCCTTGCCGTTATGTCTAAGTTTCAGGTTCACTTACTAAACTGCCGTCTATCCCGCCCGCTTTCCCCCGTCTCACAGATCTTGCGGAGCAGTGCCAGAAATTCTGGCGTTTTGTCCGACACATGCGTCGCGCGCGCGGCATCAAGCCATGCTGGATCCTCAACGCTGACCAGACGCCGCTCTGGCTGGAGATGCCCGCCACCACGACCGTGGATCAGACGGGCGTACGGTCGGTGCCCATCCGGAGTGCAGGTTACCAGAAGGAGCGTGTGACCGTGATGCTGGCGTGCACGACGGACGGGGCGAAGCTCAAGCCGTGGGTATTTTTCAAGCGGAAGACGCTGCCGAAGGGCAACTTTCCTCCTGGTAATAAGTAGCAACTGCCGCTGTCTTACCGTATCGTTTCTCATGCCGCGCTAAGTTTAAGTGCCATTTCTGTGTGCAGATGTGGTCGTGGCTTGCCACGAGAACGGGTGGATGAACGCAGAAGGCGTCATCCGCTGGCTTGAGGAGTGTGTCAAGCCCTTCTTGCAGCCCCGATTTGGCAGGTGTGCGAAGAGCTCTATGCTCGTGCTGGATTCCTACCGCGGCCACCTTACCGAGGGGGTGAAGGAGAAGCTCCGCGAGATCAACTGCGTGCCTGCTGTCATCTCGTCGGCTTGTACGGGTGAGGTTCAGCCACTCGACGTCTCCATCAACAAGAGCTTCAAAGCATCTGTTCGTCAGCAGTACCAGAAGTGGTTTCAGGAGGAGGGCCAAGAGCAACTGACACCTGCAGGTACGTTGTTTCCGTTAAACACGCATGTTTATCCCCCTTTCACCCTTGGTCACTGACATGGCTTTCCCGGGTGTCTCTGTTGCGGTGCAGGGAATCTGAAGAAGCCCCCCCCAGAAGTGGTCCTTCGATGGATTTCACAAGCCTGGAAAGCAGTACCCTCCGACCTCGTCAAGCGGGCCTTCCTCACCTGCGGCATTAGCAACGCGCTTGACGGCAGTGAGGACCACCTCGCCATGGCGCACAGGCGGAGCCAACTGACGGCGGAAGTGGATGTAGACGACGGCATCATCGCCGACGGATTCTTCGGCAACAACTGCAAGGAGCCCGAGTCTGACGAGGAGTAGTTCCGGTAGAATAGCAGATTAAGTCTACAATTGTGTACCTAGGTAGAATAGCAGATTAAGTCTAAAATTGTACTAACTTGTAGTATTCGTTGAAGATAACGATGTTAATAGTTGTTGTTTGCTTTTGTTGTGGTGGTAAAAAAAGTGTTAATATTGAGGGTGGCGCTTATAATAAGGAAGGGTACAAAAGGGGTGGCGCTTATAATCGAGGATCGGCCATAAGCGCCATGCTCCAGATAGAAGCGCCGGCGCCTGTAATAGGCCGGCGCCTATATCCGGGGCCATACGGTATATAAAAAAGAATTCTTTGGAACCCCATTTTCCAGAGTAAAAGCTGGGGACGTCAATAGAGGATGCTCAGGATGCAGAGAACGATGAGAAGGGTACCGTACGGGAGGGCCAGGATGGGTTGGACTGGGTGTGAACGTCACGCAAATAAGGAGATCGGCAGTACAGGGAGGAGGGCATTAGGGGGAATGCATACGATTCAGCACACCCTCTAGCTGTTTTATTGCCGGGGTGGGAGGGACTCAAAGAGGATCGAAGGGGCTGGAAGGGGATGGGATGAGAGGGGTTTGAAGGGGATGGGATGAGAGGGGTTTGAAGGGGATGGGATGAGAGGGGTTTGAAGGGGATGGGATGAGAGGGGTTTGAAGGGGATGGGATGAGAGGGGTTTGAAGGGGATGGGATGAGAGGGGTTTGAAGGGGATGGGATGAGAGTGGTTTGAAGGGGATGGGATGGGAGAGTATCGCAGGAGATGGAAGGGTATGGCGGGGGATGAAAGGTTATGGCAGGGGAAGGAAGGGTAGGCGAAGGCAAGTAGGAGATGCGGGAGAGATGGTTGCGAGGGCATGGAGGGGTGATGCGAAGGCAAGGAAGAGAGATGAATAGGTAGGGATAGGCGATGCATAGGTAGGGAAAGGAGATGCATAGGAGGTGGAAGGACGAAAATGGTTCAAAGAAATGAGTGATGGGGAGGCGGGAAGGGGAGATGGGGAGCGGGATGGGGAAACGGGGAGGCGGGAAGGGGTAATGGGGAGCGGGAAGGGGAAGCAGGGAGGTGGGAATGGGTAATGGGGAGGCAGGAAGGGGAAATGAGGCGGCAGGAAGGGGAAATGAGGCGGCAGGAAGGGGAAATGGGGAGCTGGAAGGGGAAACAGGAGGCGGGAAGGGGAAATGGGGAGGCGGGAACGGGAATTGGGGAGGCGGGAAGGGGAAACGGGGTGGCGAGAAGAGGAATCGGAGAGCGGGACGGGGAAACGGGAAGGCGGGAAGGGGAAACGGGGAGCGGGACGGGGAAACGGGGAGGCGGGTGTTGGCTACTATTAGCCCTTAGTCTACTCTACGCGCACCACTTAAGTCACACTAAGTGATCTCCGCCGGGCCTCGTCCTCGGGTCCACGGTTCTCCAAGTGAATACGCACTAGAGTAGTCCCACACTTAAATGCGCAGCGTCTTGTTATAAATCATCACGTCTCAAGAAATACTCTTCACGTCAATACGATGAAAGAGGAACCAATTCTCATAAAAGATTATGAAAAAAGGTTAATGACAAACAAGAACAAGCAAAGATATATACTAACCCACCGAAATCGAAAGCTAACAGCCCACCAAAATGATAGCTGGAAACATATTCCGAATGGCCAACTACCTCCACACGAAACTTGTGGAAACATGCTCGCCCATGCATATTCCTGTGTGCCATACTTGCTCGCGAACGCTCATGGACGCTCGTGGTCGCTCGTGGCGACAGCTCATGACAGATCATGAATGTGAAGATTGAAACGAGAATGAATCAACTATGAAATGAGTGAGTACAAGTACTAACCCAAATTGGGTTGTACCCCCTATGGGATACCCCACTATAGCCTACACAAATGTATAAGCTATATAGTATTCTGACATACCCCCATAGGCAAAGTGGGGGAGAACAAGGGGTCACAAGACCAGTCAAGTAAAGCAAAGCAAAGCAAGCTCAGGGTGGATCACAAAGTCACCACACAGTCCGAGCACAGGGTCAAGGCCACACGGCCAGTTCACATGCAAGAGTACACACATATATATAAAGCTAGACAAGCAAGAGCAGGTATATATATATGTGAGAGTACAAGCAAGGTCAAGAGGAGAGCAAGTGAGGCAAGACGGGCACAAGACCCAGCTGAGTGCAGAAGCGCTGATGATCACAAGGCGGAAGTGCCTTGGTGAAGACATCAGCACTGTTGGCCTCAGAGGCCACGTACGCAAGCCACAACTGTCCACGCTGCTGTAGCTCACGAGCAAGGAAGTAGCGGAGAGCAATGTGCTTTGTTCTGTGCTCCAGTCGCTGCTCTCGACACAAGGCCAACATGGCCTTGTTGTCTACGTACAGGACTGGAGGAGAACGAGGCGGCTCTCCAAGGTCGGTCAGCAGGTAGGTGAGCCAGCGAAGCTCCTGTGCAGCCATGGCCCCGGCATAGATCTCAGCCTCACAACTGGAGCCGAGAACAGAAGACGAGCGAGTAGCCCGCCACGAAACAGAGCCAGAACCAAGGCTGAAGGTGTAACCCTGGGACAACCGCTGCGTAGCCTGGTCATCAGCCCAAGAAGCGTCTGCGTGCCCAGTGAGGACCACTGGACTGCGCCCTCCAAGCACTAGCCCCATGCCCGACGTACTGCACAAATAGCGCAACACCCTCTTCGCTGCAGCCATGAGCTCTGGTCGGTGTATCCCAGGAGCAACATAGCGTGCAAGAATGCTAAGAGGGTATGCAAGGTCAGGTCGTGTGCAGGTCATCAGGTACATGAGGCAGCCAACAAGCTCTGGATACGGGCCACTCGACTCTACGGACTCATCCGAAGGCACAGCTGAGAGTGAGTGGCGAGTAGGCAGAGGAGTGGCCTGAGGCGAGGAGTACGTGAAGTCGAAGCGCTGAAGGACCTGCTGCACCATGTGTGACTGAGTCAGGGTAATGGTACGGCGTGCTCTGTCCCGGGTGATCTGCAAGCCAAGGTAGCTGCGCAGTTCAACCAGGTCAGTGCACGTGTGTCTCTTCTGCAGCTCAGACTTCACGTAGGCGAGTCCAGCAGTGTCAGATGTGGCAAAGACCATGTCATCGACGTACACGAGGATGTAGAACGGTGGCTGAGAGGTGTCGGTGCGCAGAAACAGCGACGGGTCGGCAGTAGAAGGAGCAAACCCAAGAGCTGCAAGCGTAGTCCTCAGTGTGTCGTGCCACTCACGTGGCGCCTGGCGGAGACCGTAGACTGGACGCTGGAGACTCCACTGGGTACCAGGAGGGAAAGACCCAGTGAAGCCAGGTGGGCGGCGCAGCCAGATCTCCTCGTGCAGGCTGCCCTGCAAGAAAGCAGTGTTGAAGTCGAGAGAGTGCAGCTCGTAGTCACGGTGAGCAGCAACATGCAGCAGTACCCGAAGAGTGGTCATCTTCGGGGTGGGGGAGAAGGTCTGAAAGTAGTCAACTCCCTGCTGCTGACTGAAGCCACGAGCCACGTAACGCGCCTTGAAGACAGGCGGAGAATCCGGCGGCCGCTTCACCCTGAAAATCCACATGCCACTGACAATGTTCGGCCCAGGAGGGGGGACAGCGTCAACGTAGGTGCCTGAGGACTTTCAGGAAGCCATCTCTGCATCCATGGCTGCCTGCCACTGAGAGGAGTAGGGACCCTCTATCGCCTCCGCGTAGGAGCGCGGAGTCGGGATGTTAAGTGCATCCGGGTCTCCCTCAGGGATAAGCAGTACGGACACGAGATGAGGTGAAGCAGCAGCCAGACACTAGAACTCCTCCTGCGTGTCCTCAAGGACGTCCGTGCCAAGGGCACACTCACCCCCGACGGACGGAGGAGAGACAGACTCAGACTCAGCGACAAGACTAGCAGCGTAGTCTAGACGACATCGAGCAGCAAAGTCGATGAGCTCAGCAACTAGGGCAGACGCAGCAGTGGACTCGAAAGAAGGGTCAGTGACGACAATAGCAAGGAGACGCGTGATAGTAGGACAGGCAGCACGAAGAGAGTCCGACTCCGGGTCGGCAAGAGCAAGAAGAGAGGACTCAGGAGGAGAAGGCAAAGGGGCACGCAGAGGAGCAGTGGACGGACGCAGAGACATCCGGTGCGTGCCAGGGACAGGAGGAGGACGCGGACGCGAACCACGACCACTAGCGCGAGCAGCACGGACAGGCGACGTAGGGCGAGACGCAGCCTCACGACGCTCAGCAAGACCCCTAGTAGGACCAGTGTAGGGAGAAGGAGCAGGCAAAGGGGAGGTAGGCTGCAACTGTAACTGTGACGGGACAGGCTGTGGACACTCTAAGGGAGGAGGAGGACCAGTAGAAGGTGGAAGACCAAGAACCTGCTGCAGGAGTGGAACGAAGTACGGTCGAGGCCGCGTGGCGACGCCAGAAACAGCAGGGATAGCACTAGTACCTCCAGCAGGAGCACCCGCTCCAGCAGCACCTCCAGGAGCTCCAGAACCTCCAGCAGCAACAGGAGCACCCCCAGCAGGACCGCCAGTGGTAGTCTCAGCGCCAACACCCTCAGCAGCACCAGCTCCAGTCGAACCTGCAGGCCCAGCAGCTCTAGCACTCCCAGGACGAGCACCTCCGGGACCCGCGACAGCAGCACCCTTAGTAGCCAACAAACCTACAGCACCAGCAGCACGGCTCCAGCGCCGGGCAAACCACTCGCGCAGCTCTTGTGGAGAGAGTGGCTCCCGGCGAGACGAAGCACCTGGAGAACCTCCAGGCGGAGCACCTCTAGGCTCAGCACCCCCAGGCTCAGCACCCCCAGGCTCAGCACCCCCAAGCTCAGCACCCCAAGGCGTAGCACCCCCATGCTCAGCACCCCCAGGCTCAGCACCCCTAGGCTCAGCACCCCCAGTAGCCGAAGAACCTCCAGCACTAGCAGCACGGCTCCAGCGCCGGGCAAACCACTCGCGCAGCTCCTGTGGAGAGAGTGGCTCTCGGCGAGATGAAGCACCCGGAGAACCTCCAGTCGGAGCACCTCCAGACTCAGCACCCCCAGGCCCGGCACCCCCAGGCAAAGCACCCCCAGGCGTAGCACCCCCAGGCTCAGCACCCCCAGGCTCAGCACCCTCAGCAGCACCAGAGTCACCAGTGACCTCGACAGGCTCGACTGCGTCTACCTGGGACACACCTGAAGGGGCAGGACCCTGAGGGGGGAGGGGGTCTACCTGGGGGGGACCTTGTACAAGGAAGAGCGGGGGCGGGGGAAGGGACGGAGTGCGGTAGGGGAAGAGGCGGTAGTAGGGGACCGACTCGTCAAACGTGACGTCCTGGGAGGACAGAACATGGCGAGAGGTGGGGTGGTAGAACTGCCACCCAGGCGCGTCAGGGGGGAACCCCAGGAAGACGCAAGGAACAGCACGAGGGGACAGCTTGCCCGCAGACAAGTCGCGGACAAACGCCCGAGATCCCCAGACCCGGAACGCCGACGCATCGCCAACCTTCCCCATCCACAGCAAGGCTGGGGAGGTCTCCGGCCTGGAGACCCTGGGGTGAAGGTTGATCTGATGCGCCGCGTACCTGACCGCAAACGGCCACAGAAAATGGGGGGCAGCCGCATGCATCATAGACGTACGAGCGACGTCCATGACCATGCCAATGCGGCGCTCAGCAATCCCATTTTGCTGCGGAGAGTCCGGAAGCGTGAAGGTCTGACAGATGCCCCGTGCGCGACAGTAGGCTGTCAGAAGGCCAGAGGAAAACTCTCCGCCTCTTTCCGAGTGCAGACGCAGAACAGGAAAGTCCGAGCCAAAGCTCTGCTTGAGCTGGAGACGAGCTGCGCGGATCCAGTCGATCACCACCTCAGTGACATCACCCTTGCTGCGCAAGGGGAAGACTGCGGTGTAACGCGAGTAGTCGTTAACAACGAGCAGGAAGTAGCGCTCGTGACCCTGTCCACGGACGCGGGCTGGGCCCCACACGTCCAGGTGAAGCGTCTGCAACGGGGCCTCTGTCGGAGGAAACTGGGAGGAGTGAGGGGCAGCACGCTGGCGCCCCTCGACACAGGGGACACAGGTAGGGCTAGGGCCCTGAGGAAGGGGAGGGAGGGACCGGGGGAGACCAGAAACAAGAAGACGAGAGGCCATGCCTCTGAGCCGAAGCAGAGAGGGGTGACCAAGGTGGTGGTGCCAGAGGAGAGTCTCGTGAGACAGGAGACGACACGAACAGGGGGCAGACTCAGGACCAGACCTGGACGCTGCAGCAAACACCTGACCCGACGCAGCTACCCTACCAGGCTCAGCAACTAGAGGAGACGCAGTGGTCAGTGTGTACAGGCTCGACCCCGGCCGACGAGTAAACGTGACCAGGTGTCGGCCTGTCCGAGCGTCTGTGCAGTGGGTCACCCGCTGACTCGCAGGAGTGAACTGGTGAACCCCCGCATCCTGCAGGTCAGCACCACTCACCAAGTTCGTAGAGAACGAGGGGAGGTAAAGACCAGACAGGGTGCCAGAGGGGGCCGCCGGACACGGGAGGACAGTGGAGAAGTGAGCAAGGACAGGGCCCCCAGAGGGGTCTGCCAAAGAGACTGCAACTGGCCGACCAAGCGGCGTGAGTGTGGTGCGGTCTCGAAAGAAGGAGCGGGAAGCCTCCGAGTCAAGGGTGAAGGTGTGAGAG